CAGGTAATGAAAGAAATCTCAATTTTCTTTACCTTTCATCTGTAACCTATACAAGAACTCCCAGGGTAGAAATTTTCAGAAGGAAGAAACTAGAATTGATCCTGACCAATCTGCCCTGTATCTGGAGATTACTTCATTATATTACACAAAGGGGGGAATCTACGCAGCCACTAGGGAATACATTATAGAGCTGCATTTATCCATTTCACAGGAGGAAAAAGAGATGATAGCTTGGCAGAGAGCCCGGATGCAGATCAAACCTGGCGAAACACACCACCTGAAAACCTTCAAGAATATGCAGAAAAGCTCAGAACTACTCAAAAATGTGAACACCTCTATCTTGATTGGAGCCCCTCCGATGGAAAAAAGTGAGAGAGCCCACAGGGATGTAGATAACCTTCCGGGTAAAGTACATTCTCCACCCACCATGTTTCCCAGAAGCGTCCTAAGTCAGCAGGGGCATGTCTCCATTTATCTTTAGACACCGTCTGGCAGCCTCTTCATTTCTGAACTTTACTTTAGGGCACCATATTGTAGCGCTTTATCCCAGAAACCGATGTCATGGTCATCTATCTATGTTATCTCCTTTTCCCCTCTGCTGCTGAGAGTTCTTGACTCAGTTATGAAGTTTGTTCAGTACAAGGACTCACTTCATGAGCTTTACTTTAGCAGAACTTCCACTTTATTAGGAAAAAAAAAAATCCTTAGGACCATGGCCTGAAAATGGATGTTGCTACTCCCAGCCTTTTGGTGGACACAAACACAGTGGTTCTAGAAACAGTGCTATTAGTTATCCAGATGACCATTCATCCCAGGGCCCACTCTTTGTTGAGTATGATGACTCTACACTTAGAATTTCTCTGAGGCATTTTGGAGAAAGAAGCACCTGTGCAGTTGTTTTCTCTTGTATGTCTTTTGGACTATGAGTTTCTCCACTTAGGATTCCACTCTTGGCCAGTTCCATGACCTGGTGGTTAAAAGAGCTGGATCCCACATAGCCAACCAAATTGTTCCAAACTCAGCTCCAAGGCTTGAAAAACACACCAGGCATGTGCACATACATGGTCAACCAAATGGTTCAAATCCCAATTCCAAGAATTGAAAAACACACCAGGCATATGAGCATACATGCCCCAAATCCCAACAGGATGGGGAAATGGAGAAGGAATTGTGACCTGAACACGCCCCATTAGGAGGGTGATTTCTCCCTCTCTTTCTCTCTCTAGTCCTCTTCCTCTCTTCCTCTCTCTCTGTTTCTCTTGTAAGCACACTCATCCTGGGGATGAGGGGAAGAATTTCTCACCAATCCTGCCCTATCTTCCAAGATTTCTTCATTTTTTCCCCCTTAGTTTCTAGTTTTCACTGTAGGGCACATGTGGTTGCTGGAGAGAGAGAGACAGAGAGAGAGAGAGAAAGTGAGAACACTCTACCCAGCAGGGATAGTCACATCACAGTTCTTTCTCCTCTATTCTCCTCTTGGGATTTTGGTCATGCACTTGTACCTGATGTGTTTCTCAAGCCACCAGGTCTGGGACTCAAACTGCTCAGTCAGTCATGAGGGATCCAGCTGTCTTAACCACCATACCACCATCTGGCCCAGGATTTCTTCAAATATTGTGATTCTCTCAGAGTCACCTTTCTGTTTTTTTAAGTGGGATTTAGGGAGGGAACATAGTTACAAATACTTAGTTTGTTATCTTTTCTATTTAGAGGTAATATTTTTTTCTTAGTTTTAGCTATAGGTATGTACACTCATGGAGGAGGGTGAAAAATCACCCCCAATAGGGAGATGGCCATGCTGCTATCCCTTCTCCTCCAGTCTCCTCTCGAGATTTTGGACACACATACATGTCATGTGTCTGGCGTGATTTATAAGCCACTGGGTCCAGGACTCAGAGCACACTGGTGGCCACATAGGATCCAGCACCTTAACCTCCATATAACCTGTTGGCCCTACTGGTAATGATTTTTTTTAACTCAATTTGTGATAGTATATCAACTCCTAATATGATCCACACTCAGTCCTAGAGGAAGAAAAAATGTAAATGACAATAGGAACAGGTGAAGTTAGCATATGGAAAGAGCTAAGGAGCATCATAACCTCACTCATAGCAGCTATTCATACTTTCCTCATCTCTTCAAATTGATGAAGGTCCTTTTTTCTCTCCAATCCTAGAACTGCTGACACTAGGGATCTCCTCTATGCAGCGTCCCCAAGGAAGCTATCTCTTGGACACCCTGCAATCTCTCTTCTCAGCTTCCTCCTTGTCTGAGCAGAAACACTTCCTTGTTCTGGTACACCTGGCAGATCCTGACCCCAAATGGCTTGATCAAATGATCTCTAACATCTCAACCCTCTTTAAACCATATATTCAGGCCAGGCAGCTGGTTGTGATCAATACTCCTCTGAAAAGCTATCTTCCCTTAACGAACTTTAAGAAAAACTTCAATGACACTCCCACCTACGCAGCCTCTCACTCCAAGCAGAACAAGGATTATGCCTTCCTCATGAATGTCGCTATCAACCGTTCTGACTATTTCCTGATGATCGAAGATGACGTGAAATGCGTTCCTGGATTTGTCACACAGATTGCTGCTAAAGTGTATGTTTGGCAAAGAAAACCTTGGGTGACTCTGGAGTTCTCTCATCTGGACTTCACTGGAAAACTCTTTCGTACCAGAGACCTTCCCCACTTTGTTAGTTTCCTTCTCCTCTTCCACCAACAAATGTCCTGCAACCACCTTCTCTCCCATTTTCATGACATTTTCATGCAGCAAAAACCGATCCGGTTCTCCCCCTCCCTCTTCCAGCATCTGGGCAATTATTCCTCCTTTGAGGGAAAATTCAATGGCCTCAAAGACAAAGAGTTTGAACCAAATGATATTGGCTCTCCTAGCAACCCTCCTGCCACCATTTACACCAGCCTGAATGTTACCAATGCCTCTGTCATGAACGCCTACAGCTTGGACAAGAATTTCCTTTACAGCGAGGAGGCTAAGGTTGGCAGCCATCTGACTATAGTTTTGGACAAACCTGCTATAGTGTTTCGGGTTCAAGTGCTGACCGGTTCTGAAGTAAGAGAAGAGAATCAGTTGAAAGAGGGCCAAGTAGAACTGGGCTTTGATTCTACAAATAGGGTCACTGACTGTGATGACTATATTCTGCTGGGATTCCTCGCAAATGGCACCCTGAATAAGGCGGTATTATCTGAAGAGTCTGAGAAGGTGAAGTGTGTGAGATTGCTTGTAACAGCCACTCTGCCCTCCGGATTAATAGTAAGGCACATCAATCTCTGGGTTAAGTAAAGTTCATATGATAGATGGAGAAGCTATTTGGAGTTTTGTAAATGGTCAAGTTGGAGGTTAGAAAATACAGAGATGACAAAACATTCAAGTCTTAAAATTGATCAAGGACATCTCTTTGCTGGGTCTTTTCAGGGTTCTTCTTTTCTTTTTCATTTCCTTTTCTCTCTCTCTTATTTATTTATTTATTTATTTATTTATTTATTTTGCCAGAGGGCAATGCACTCACATGGCAGAGAGAGACAGAGAGAAAAAGGGAACAAGAAAGGTAAAAAGCACCCACCATGGAGAATGGTCACGCTGCAACCCCTTCTTCTCTATTTCTCCATTCTTTGGGGATTTGGGGCACACATGTACATGTGTTTCTCAAGCCACTAGGACCAGGACTTGAACAGCAGGGTCGGCCATGTGGGATCTGGCTGCGTTAACCACCAAGCCACACAGCTAACCTCTTTTTAAGACTTTTAAAAAAATTATTTATTTATCTATCGTTATTATGATGATTATTAGTATTTTAGAAAAAAATTTTGCTACAGGCTGCGTGTGCTCACCAGAGAGACAGAGACAGAAAGTGATAAATTCCCCCCGGGGGCATGGACACACCTCAATCCCTTCTCCATTCTCCTCTTTGGATTTTGGACACACACACACACACACACACACACACACACACCTGGTGTGAGTTTGAAGCTGCTAGGTCCAGGAATTGAACCACAGTTGAATCCAGTGACATATCATTATGCCATCTACTAGTCCCATTATTTTATTTTATTTTTTTTACTTCTTTTTATTTTTTTGGAGAGGTTTTCACTATAGGGCGCGTGCGCTCGCCAGACAGGCAGAGAGAGAGACATAGAGAAAGAAAGCGAGAAATCACCCCCCAGGGGGGATGGTCACGCCGCAGTCCCTTCTTCTCCATTCTCCTCTTGGGATCTTGGGCACGCACGCACATGCACCCGGCGTGAGTTTTAAGCCTCCGGGAATGGGATGCAAACCGCGGTCGACTACATGGGAATCCAGCGACATAGCCATTACGCTTACTGCTGGTTCCCCTGGTCCCATTATTTTAATTGCTATAGGGCATATGTGCCCACCAAAAAGAGAGAGAAAGAGAGAGAGAGAGAAAGTGAGAAAGCAAGCCACTGGGTACAGGACTCAAACTGCAGTTGGCCATGTGGGAGTCCAGCATCCCAACCACCACACTACCTGCTGGCTCCCTTTTCAAAACTCTTAATACAAAAGACATGGCATTTTGAAAGAGTTAGGGTAGCATCCACTTGCCAGAGGGCCATGGGTGGGATGTGGGGCTTGTTAATACCTTCTCTGGTTTTCTCTCCGGAAGTGTTCTCATTCCAGCACTCTATCTTTGGGTCATGTACACCAGACTTCTAGACACAACAGGGGACAGGTGAGTAAGAGAATCCGATGCTCATATTGCAAGACTCTGGTGGCAATGAGAGAAGACAAAGGATCCTTCCACCAGCAACGGAGTGGATCAGTGAAAGTTTTAACTGCCGGTGTGATACAAGAAAGTAGATTATCCAGGAAAATGCCCTTTTCCAAAACAAGGTATTCATTCATTTGATAAATATCTAGGGAGTACCTTATGTGGTTAGGCAGAGTCCTGTTCTCCATGATCACCCAATAAACCAGGGGGTTCCTTTTAATTTAATTTAATTTTTATTTATTTCTTTTAGTTTTTGCTATATAGTGCATGTGCTCAGTAGAGAGAGATGGAAAGTAGGAAATCACGCCCCACCCTTACCCCCTGGGGGGCTGATGGCCATGCCGCAATCCCATCTCCTACATTTTCCTGTTGGATTTTGGGCACATGCGCACATATACTTGGCATGATTTTCAAACCACAGGGTCCAGGGTTCAAACCACACTCAACCATGTGAGAGTCTAGTGTCTTAACTACCACACCACCTGCTGGCCCTCAGGATTCCTTTTTAAGTAGCACCAAAAATAGTAAAAGTAATTTGCCATGATTTCTGGTAGCTTCTCTCTCTAATAGCTTTTCTTTTCTTTTTCTTTCTTTCTCTTTCTTTTTTCTTTCTTTCTTTCTTTTTTTTTTTTTTTTTTTGAGAATTTTTTGCTACAGGGCTCATGTGCTTGCCAGACAGACAGAAAGTGAGAAGTGAGAAATCACCCCCCAGGGGGGACGGCCACACTGCAATCCCTTCTACATTCTCCTCTTGGGATCTTGGGCACGCACGCACAAGGGCCCGGCATGAGTATAAGCCACTGGGTACAAGACTCGAACCACGGTCGACTACATGGGAGTTCAGCAACATAACCATTATGCTAACTGCTGGTTCCATCTCTCTAATAGTTTTAACCATGGAACTAGAGGTAACTTGGGTATTTCTGATAGGAAAAATTCTGGATATTTTATAACATCTTTATATCACTTTTTTAAAAAAACATTTATTTCTATGTGTTATTATTATTATTTTTAATTTGACCAGACAGAGACAGAAAGAGAAAGGGAAAGTGAGAAAGCAAGCTGCCAGGTCCAGGACTCGAACTACAGTCGGCCATGTAAAAACCAAGTGCTTTCAACCACCATGCCACTTGCCGGCCCGTCTTTATATCACTTTTACTATGAAATTTTTATTCCCAGAAAAATCTGAGTCCTGGGTCCTAAGGTCAACTAATGTGTAGTGTCTGAGGAGGGGTTTTCACTAGCTCAAGAACTATAATCCACAAAGGCAGGGAGAGAAGGAAAGAGCACTGTAAGAGAACTAATCAGGAAGGACTAGAGTTCAAAACCAGAGTGTTCAAACTTCGTGACCAAAGTGATTAGAATGAAAGAATTTGTAAACGGCGTAAGGAAGTGGAAACAAGAATGAGAGGCAGAAACTTTGAGGGAGGATGTGGATGCAGGAGATGGGGCAAGCGAATATGGCAGTCCTGGCAGTGCACTGGCCAAACCCTGCTCTCACTAACGTGTGACTGGCAGCCATACTCGTCCCCTCTGGTCTGCCACAGTGCGGGTAGCAAGGCCACGCTTCCCACACACTGTGACCACAGCAGACCCATTCAGGAAAGAAGGGGGCTCCTCTAACTTGACTTTAGCTCGAGAGGTTCTATCAGCCTGCCCAAAAATCTCGGAACCACCCTGTGGTCCTAGACTCTATCTAGCCCACCCTTCCTACTCTGTCATCTTCCACAGCGGCCACACCTTCACCGCAGTCAAGCCTCTCTCTGTCTCCCCTTCTCTCTCTACCAATAAATGTCTTAGATGTCTAACTCCGTTTTTCTCTGTGTGTGTGTGTGTTCTTTTTGGCTAGAGGGCACAAACACTTGCCAAAGAGAAACAGAGAGACACAGTGAGAGAGAGGAGAAAGCACCTACCCATGGAGCAAAGTCACCCCAAAAGCCCTTCTCCTCCATCTCTCTCTCCTTCCTGGAGTTTGGGCACATATGCACACATACCTGGCATGTTTCTCAAGCCACTAATCTGGGACTCGAACTGCACAGTTGGCCATATGGGATCTGGCTGCCTTAGCCATCAGGCCATGGAGCAGGCCCTATTGTCATTTTCTTGTTTTTGTTTTTGTTTTTTTGGAGGGTTTGATTTTTTTTTTTTTGCTATAGGGCGTGTGCGCTCGCCAGACAGAGACCAAGAATCTAGAAATCACCCCCCAGGAGGGATGGCCACACCACAATCCCTTCTCCTCCATTCTCCTCTCGGGATCTTGAGCACACACACAAAAGCACCCAGCGTGAATTTAAGCCACCGGGTTTGGGACACGAACCATGGTTGACTACATGGGAGTCCAGTGATATGGCCATTACATCAACTGCTGGTCCCAACGTGACTGGATTTTACATGGTCAGCTGAGCAATTCAGGTCCCAGACGAGGCTTAAAAATCACACCAGGCACATGTATGTGAAGCCCAAAATCCCAAGAGGAGAATAGAAGAGAAGGATTGCAATGTGGCCATCCTCCCAGGAAGGGAAGATGATTTTTCACTTTTCTTCCCTTTATCTCTGTCTCAGCATCCATTTCTACTTTATTTTCAGGGGTGGGGTGGGGTGGGGAGAGGTTTTTGCTATAAGGTGCATGCGCTCACCAAAAAGACAGAGAGAGACAGAGAGACAGAAAACAAGAAATCACCCCCTAGGGGAGATGGCCACGCTGCAATCCCTTCTCCTCCATTCTCCTCTCGGGATCTTGGGCATGCACATACATGTGTCTGGCGTGAGTGTAAGCCACCAAATCTGGGACTCGAACCGTGGTCAACTACATGGAAGTCCAGCGACATAGCCATTACACCAACTGCTGGTCCCATCAGCACCCATTTCAACTCTAAGGAGTTCACCCAGGATTGCTGAGCCCATATGGTTAAAGTCTCCAGGTTAAGCCCAAGCTCGAACATTGTGTCCTGTGGTTTCCAGCGATGCCTCTTACCAGTTAGTGTGCCACCTGGGGCTTTGGAACACACAACCCCTGGGAGCGGCTGGAGCTGTAGCTATGCTCTCATTAACCCGCCCTCTTCCTGTCTGGCCACATCCTCTAGCCACAGAGAGAGAAGAACCTGGAACCCTCCTCTCAGGGCTGGTTTTGGGAAAGGTCAGGTGTGTGGCGTCTCAGCCAGGCCAGCAGGAGTGTCAGAAGCTCTGTTGCGTAATCTCCCTAGTCTCTCAGAAGAGCAAAGAGAAAGCATTCCTCCTTTTCCCTTTCCAAACCTCTGGACGTGCACCTAACATGCCCTGGCTCATCTTGACTTCCCTCAGACAATGAACAGACAGCTTTGAGAAGTAGTGGGAGATGGTACCACTATCTAAGTGACCTCTTCAGCCAGCCCAGAAATAAAGGAAAACAAAGTATCTCTTGGATATGTATGGTTTATCAACTACAGCTGAAACCCGGGGCTCCAATGTCCTTGCCCCCTGGTGGTGGTATTAGTTTAAAGTGTTGACAGTGACAACCATAGAAATCTCATCTATTACAGTACATCAGGAACAAATGCTTTTGGGGCCAGCAGGTGGTGTGGTGGTTAAGGCACTGAGCTCCCACATGGCCAATTGCAGGTCAAGTCCCAGACCCAACGGCTTGAAAGTCATGCCAGACAAATGTGTGTGGGTACCCAAAATCCCAAGAGGAGAATGGAAGAGAAGGGATTACGGCATGGCCATCCTCCCGGGTGGTGGTGGTGGGGGGATTTCTCATTTTCCCACTCTCTGTCTCTTTCTATGTCTCCCTGACAAGTTCTTGCACCCTATGGCAAAAACCTAAAACAACAAAGAGCAAATGCTGTCTGTCCCAGTTGTATAACTCGTGTATGAGAAAGAACAGTTGTACCAATTTGTGGCTTGGTGATTAAGGCAGCTGGATCCCACGAGGCCAACTGCACTGTTAGAATCTCAGACCTGGCAGCTTGAGAAACATGCCAGATACGTGTGTTTGCATGCATAAATCCAGAGAGGAGGGGGAGAGGGAGGAGAAGAGACTGTGGCAAGGCCATTCTCCATGGAAGCTGCTTTCACAACCTCCCTGTGTTTCTCTCCAGTAAGTGCACATGTCCTCTGGCAAAATTTTAAAAGAAGGGGGGTAGCAGAAGAAGGCATGGTGATTAAGGTGGCTGGATCCCACATGGCCAACTGCACAGTTCAAGTCCTGGACCCAGAGAATTTAAAAATACTCCAGGCATGTGTGCATGGATGCCCAAAATCCTAAAAGGAGAATGCAGAAGAGATTGCAGCATGGTCATCCTCCTCCAACCCCCAAAGGGTCCTTTCATACTTTCTCTCTCTCCCTCTCTGGCTAGTGCACATACCCTACAAGGAAACCAAAATGGAAAAAAAGGACAGTCATCTTGGCAAATTTGTAGCTCCAGTGGCTCCAAATGTCTATTTCTGACTCCTGTCTCACGTTTCTACTGCCAACAGAGCTCAGTCCTAAAGCCCTAACTGAGCCTCCATGCTATCTCCTGAGTTACAGTAGGAGCTACTATCTGCCTCCATGGCACGCCTTCCACTAAGCAGGTTAACATTTCTCACTGAAGCCTCACAAGAACATAAGGAACTATTGATAGAACCACCCATTCATAGATGAGAAAACACAGAGGAGTTGAGTAAGTTGTGTAAGTTTGTCTAAGTTCTCAGAGCCAGTAAGTGCACGGGTGGGATTCTTATTCAGCAGTCCATCTCCAAAGCCGAGGTCTTTGACTCTAAGGACAGGAGATTCCAGATCAGAAAGTGGAGCAAGAATGGGACCTGGGATGGTAGACAAAACCAGTCTTGTCAAGAGAGTCCAGGAGGGACCAGCAGTTAGTGTAATGGCTATGTAACTGAACTCCCATGTAGCCAGCTGCGGTTCGAGTCCCGGACCCAGTCGCTTAAACTCACGCCAGGCACGTGTGCGTGCATGCCCAAGATCCCGAGAGGAGAATGGAGGAGAAGGGATTGCGGTGTGGCCATT